CCTCTGCACGGTCTTCAGATGTCGCAACTTCGCAACGCCCTCACTGCCAGAGAAGATGTCACAGGGAAATGAAACTTTCAGGATCTAGTATCCATTACGAGCCTCACAACTTGTAAATCTCGGATTTTCCCTAAAGGTCATATGAGGCCAGTGGCGCAGCCAGGGGGGGGGTCAGAGGGTCAGCTGACCCCCCGAAATTTCTGTCAGGGGCCCGCTCGAGAGAGAGAGAGAGAGAGAGAGAGAGAGAGAGAGAGAGAGAGAGAGAGAGAGAGAGAGAGAGAGAGAGAGAGAGGGAGGAGAGAGGCCCTAATCTAATCGGACGAGCCCGCTTCGAGAAATGCCTACTGGGACACCACGGGTGAGGGTTCGGCCTGGGGCCCCAGGTGGACGGGGCCCGGGCCCCCGGGAGAACGGGCCCGGCCCCTGGGAGAACGGGCCCGGGCCTCCTGGGGGGTGGATGGGGCCCGGGCCCCCCGTTGATGGGTCTGGGCCCCCGGGAGAACGGGCCCCGGGCCCCGGGAGATTGGAAAACAGACCCGGGCCTCCCGGGGAACGGGCCCGGGCCCCCGGGAGAATTGACCCGGGCCCCTGGGAGAACGGGCCCGGGCCTCCTGGGTGGATGGGGCCCGCCCCCCCCCCCCCGTTGATGGGTCCGGGACCCCGGGAGAACGGGCCCCGGGCCCCGGGAGATTGGAGAACGGACCCGGGCCTCCCGGAGAACGGGCCCGGGCCCCCGGGAGAATTGATCCGGGCCCCTGGGAGAACGGGCCCGGGCCTCCTGGGTGGATGGGGCCCGGGCCCCCGGGAGAACGGGCCCGGGGCCCCGGGAGATTGGAGAACGGACCCGGGCCTCCCGGAGAACGGGCCCGGGCCCCCGGGAGAATTGATCCGGGCCCCTAGGAGAATGGGCCCGGGCCCCCGGGGTGGATGGGGCCCGGGACCCCCGTGGATAGGTCCGGGCCCCCGGTAGAACGGGCCCCGGGCCCGGCCCCCGGATGGATGGGGCCCGGGCCCCCTGGTGGACGGGCCCCGCAGCCCCGGGTGGACGGGGCCCGGGCCCCCGTGTGGATAGGGCCCGGGCCCCTGGTTGAATGGGGCCCGCTAGCACGCGCAGTGGAAGGGGGGGCGGATTTCGCCCATCCCTCCTGTTTTTCGCCAATAACTCGCGCCGCAAACATGATATTAATGTGAAATTTTGGCTACCTGTCCAGAATTGAACTGCGGATCTTCTCATGCAAGAAATAAAAAATCGGGTCACAACTTTTCTAGTAATAGCGGTGTAAAGTCAAACATCCTGCCGCCGCGGCGGCGCGGCGGCGCGGCGGCCGGCGCTAGCCGTTACGCGCCGCCTGAATTGTAGACTATGCCGGGGCGGGACGGTTCCGTCTTTACATCGCGCTCCTTACCGCTGATTATATTCGATTCGCGTCAAATTTTGTGAGAGGACTAAGAAATGTACAGGCAATCTTATGGTCCAAGAATTTTGAAAATCGGCCGGTAACAAATTGAGTTATGAGTGTGTAAACACAAAATTGTGATTGCCGCGTTTCCCGCGTCCGCCGATCCCGCTTCAGCCGGCGACATCTTACGCTTAGCAGGCTTCTAACTGCCATATTTATTGTTGGATTAACAAGAAATTCACCATACGTACTCACAAATGTATGTTCTTTCGTATAGTGAAGGAAAAGAGAAAATCGGCCGGTAACTTTTTGAGTTATCGGCGTGTAAACGCAAAAAAAGTCGCTAATATCCTCTTGAGTCCCGAGAAGAAGCCGAAAGGCAGAGAACGATGAAAGTTTTAGGGACGAGAGCTTTGGTGCCAAGGATGATCAAACTGGTAATGATTTGCTAATTGAGGTCACGGCGCATGCGCAGTGCCATGTATACTGGAGTATACAAAAATACCCAAAGCCTATAAAAAATCACCTACGTAAGCCCAGCTAGAGCATCCAGAGAGCAACCATGCGTTCATCATCTTTGTATTTGTATTTGTATTTGTATATTTAAAATCGCCAACAGACAATAAGTCCACTTAAAAGGCGAAGTCAAAGAGACAGTAAAACAGCACACACCCACACACACACAACACACACACCTACATACACACACACACACACACTGAAGATAAAAACACGTAGGGTTATAAACACAGGAGATGTAAATAAATAAATAATAGCCTAAAAAGCCTAGTAAACAAGAAACACTAAAAGCACAGCGGATGCGATCACGCCGCTTCCAGCCCTTTCACATAGTTTAAAACGTGTCCTCTAAAAGTGTAGAAACTATCGCTAAAAACATCAGCGGGACTTCTAGTTAAAAACGCGTTCATGGCCCTCGGTAGTCGGCGCAGAAAACCATCCCCGACGGTCCGTACGCGCCAGGGAAGCTCGGCGAGGAGCCGCTGTGAGCGGGTTGATCGCGGCGGCACATGGAGCGGAAATCTACCAAGGAGGTTAGAAGAACGGATTTTACCGGCCAGGATATTCCTCAGGAAGAGCAGGTCGTGTTGGTTTCTACGGACAGACAGTGATGTAATACCAAAATGATGCAGAAGAGAAGGATAGGACAGAGAGGAACATGGCGAGGATGTGTGGCTATTCAACCACAACAAGAATTTGTGCTGCACACGATCAACCCGCTCTGTGTGGGATTTGGCCGCTCCCGCCCAGACCACGCAACCGTATTCCAAAATTGAACGAACATTGGCATAGTAAGTAACGAGTAACGTATGTTTGTTAAATTTCGATCTCTTAGTCCCGGCCTGAAAGGTTCTGATCATCAGGCCAAGGGCCCTGTTTGCCTGGCATCTTATTTATTTAGGAAAACCAACGGCATACCATTGTAAGCCTAACACTAGAAACACCTTCTATGTCTCTAGGTTCTTCTACTTCTTCTTTGCCTTGTCGCTGTGAAACTTGTAGTAGCAGTTTCGGTTTGGCAGGCAGCACAGGAAGATCTTGCAGCGGTTGCACTCCGTACCTGTCAGTTTCTTGCATTCTGCGAGACGGCATCTCTTGAATTCCGCCCTTGGATGCGGCCCCCGCCGAAGTTAGTTGGTAGCACTGCTGCTCCACGGCGTACATTTCCTACCAGCCCATAGGGTTTACATGTTAAATGGCCTGTTTTCGGCGAGCGATATCTCGGTCAATCTTTGAAGGAATTAATGGTTCTTAGTCTCAAATGATAGATCGATGAATTTTCTTTCGACAATTCCTCTACCATTTTTCACGAAACCCAGCCGATCTTCTACGGCGTACAGGGTAAAGATTTCTCTGCACGCCAGCACCCGCGATCCGCCTCTCCGATCGTCGGCGCGCGGTCCTCGGTAGCGCAGTCGGTAGCGTATCGGGCTACGGATCCGAGGGTCGTGAGTTCGAATCTTGGGAGCGCCGCGTGATTTTGGCTAGAATTGAATGATGAAGATTCTTGAATGTTTGCATAATCAATTATTAATAGCTAATTGAATGTATCTGCCCACTAATCGGCCCCTAAAACCTGTTATTTAACCCTATTAGTGGCAGGGGGGGGGTTGTTTTCATCCACCCCTCAGGTTTTTCGGGAATATCTCCGAAACCGCTGAAGCTACGATGCTGAAATTTTCTGACTTTTCCTAAAACTAAATTGGGCACATTCCCTGAAAATTTCAAGTTCATAACTTTACCAAGGGCGGCTCCAGAGCACTGGGAATTGGGGGGTCCTATTCGTGAAGCGAGTCATTTGGGCGATGATCACGATGCTGATGTATTATAACTGTATGCACCAGTTTTATCATGTGATAACATATACAAAGTTATTGTGCATCCTCTTTTGACACGTTTTTGCTATAATAGGCGGATCCAGGCGTCCAAAAAGGGGGGTTATGTTTTACCTCCCAACATAGGTGCCCTGACACCGCCTATGCATGACCAATACAATTGTAGTTCTCTCATAAGAAAATTGTAACATAACAAGACCATTACCACCCTTTTTAGAAACAGTACCAACAAAAACCTTATTTGCTATACTTTTTGTGTACCCCCAATCTCAATGATCTGTATCCGCCTATGATTTTTGAAAATGCATATTTTTAGGATCCATGTGAATTCCTGGTTCATTCTTTATCGATCAGCAAAAGTTGCGTTAAGATTGGTTCAGAAACCTGGCCGTGATAAGCAGTCTAAAATGTATCTGCAATTTGCCCGTTTTTACCCCCCTCAACCCCCCTTTTGACATTTTCTTAATTTTTTTTTTTAGAAATGTAGATCACGTTGAGCGAAGTCGAATGCCGTTTGAATTTTGAAAATCGGCCCGTTAGATCTCGAGATATCAAGGGGGGGTCGTAAACAGCCCCCCCTGCCACTAATAGGGGTAGCCAGGAGCCTGCCACTAATAGGGTTAAGCAATTTAAGAAATGAATGTCACGTGCGCGTCACGACTGCCGACCATAAGCGCTACCATATTCTAGTTTGAACTAACTTTTTGCTAGTCCCGACCACATATAGTAGGTTTTCTAGTAGTTATACTAGAAATTCCTACCAAAGTTCGTCCTACCCTTCACTCAATATACCCTGCTTGGATGTGCTTTTGGGAGGTGTTTCCCGTATGCCTTCGTGCTTGGGGATGGCAGTGGCGTAACCACTCTTCTTCGCTTCTGTCTTTGCGGCTGTTGGTCATCGTCCTGGGCCGACTCGTCCCCACTGCTGCTGCTGCTGCTGTTACTGGAATCGTCTCCTTCCAACAGCTGATCCGCGAGTCGGTACTTAAATTCGAGGAGCTTCATTGTGTCAGAATCACGCTTCCCCAGTGATTCACCGTCCCTTTTGTACATAATCCAGCCGTTGACTGCTGCAAGATCCAGGAAGTGAAGCATTGTCCTGACTGTCCACTTTCTGGTCCTTGAGCCGGAGCGGTAGTGCGCCACCATCCTGTCATTTAGATCAACTCCGCCCATGTTTTGGTTGTATGCCCGGATAACGTCAGGGCGTTTGACGTCGATGTAGCGTCTCTCTTTCCGGTTGTACCGCTTGACCAGGTCTTCTGGATCTGATCCGTGTTCAGTCGATGCCATGTAGATTGGCTTGTTGTCCTGCCAGACGGTGATGGCCAGGCCTCCGTCGCTCCTTACGGACGTCACGCTGGTACCGCGCTTCTTCTTCTTCAGGTCCTTTTCTGACGGAAGCTTTGCGTCCTTCGGGATGCTGACTTTCCTTATCGTGCCTGTCCCGTTCATACGCTTGTTGACACGCAGGTGGTCCAGCAGCCTAACGCTCGTGAAGTAGCGGTCGAAGTAGATGCTGGTTCCGGGCGGCAGAGAGTGAATCAGCCGGAGAACCACTGATTCTGGTAGGGTGCATGGTTTTCCATCAAGATCCTCGCTGCACAGCTTCTGGCCTTGATACGGCTCGAAGTCGAGAACTAGTCCATCTCGTGTTGCCAGGACGAAGTTTTTGATGCCCTCTGGGTTTGGTTTGCAGGGAACGTATTGCTTGAGACTGGTTTTGCCAGTAAACGGGATCATTTGCTCGTCGATGCAGACCACTGGCGGACGTGGGACCAGAAGGCAGCTGGCTCGGATGGACTCCAGCACCGGCCTTACCTTCCACAAGCGGTCTCGCTCACGTTCCTCTTGCGAAACGTCTTGGTCGCATACCGCCTTCAAGTGCCCCCGGATCTGATGGAAGCGATTCCTGCTGAATGTGTCAGCCACTGCAGCGATCCTGGTCTTGGATGCCCAATAGAGTCTCATCCACGGCAACTTCAGAAGCGACATCAGCATCGTCGCTCCGATGAACTGCTTGCATTCGCTTGCCCTGAGGAGGAGTGATTTGCCGGTTTTTTGCACGCTGTCCATATTGGATTTCTGGGCAATGACCTCGAACATGGAAGCTGGGGCGAACTGAGAGAAGTAATCAATCGGAGTCTTCACAGTTGTAGAAGAACATCCTGCGGTGGCAGCGTCAACATCTGCAACTTGAGGTACAAGCAATGGTGGACCAAGGCTTGCACCCAGTCTGTAGAAGACATTTCTGCCGGACGTGACAGCTGGAGCCTGGTCTCCACCAGCTGCGTTTGGAGCAGTCTCATCAGCACTTTCTTCTGCATCCTCGCTATCAGAAGAAACTCTTTCTGTCAAGTTTGGTTCAAACTCTTCAGACGAAGAGTCGAATTGGGAATCCAGATCTGAATCATTCAGCTCATTTAGGACTCGAAGGATATCAGCTCCGGACTTCAGGACAGCTGGAAGAGAAGGATGTTGTGAGCAGGGGTGGATCCAGAAAAACTCCAAGGGAGGGGGGTCATGAATCGAAGTAGGGCCCCTACCTATACCCAAAATTAAAAACTCAACGGATTTCGGCCACTGAATTTTGGTGGGGCTCTATTCTTAGTTTTTTTCCTGTTTTTTTATTTTTTTCTCCTGCCCCCTGGACCTTGGCAGAACTGTGGTGCCCCTGAAAGGCACATGGTACCCCTGACAGGCATGTGGTGCCCCTGACAGGCCCAAGGTGCCCCTGCGAGGCCGGTGGTGCCCCTGCTGCACCTCTGGTGCCCCTGTCAGGCCTGTGGTAAAGGGCCCCAAAGGGGGGCATGACACATATGACCCCGCCCCCTTGGATCCGCCACTGGTTGTGAGCGAACTACAATAAAATATTTGGAATGCCCCAGCGACCATGTATACTACAGTATGCATTGTTACTTCCAACCGGAGCCCATTGTATATTGAGGTATACATAATTTTATCGTGCGGGTTCCCGTTGTACACTCGGGTGTACAATTATTTTTGGTCGGCAATTTTTTCGCAAAAACTTATGCATCTCGACAAGCACATCTCATCATACATGTACAATCCTTGTGTAACCTATCTCTGTACAACTATATACTTATTTCGTGCGCGATAAAATGTGTGCATATTTTTTTCGGCTCAGTAAGATTTGTATACCTCAATATACATGAACTTTAATTCTTTCTCAAGCACTTCAAACACAAACATGTGTTTAAAAAACCTGCAGGGGATGATAATCAGCATACTCTTTAATGATGGAAATAGTTGTTTTCGATCAAGAGCGTCATAGAAGATAAATATTAAGTAAACAATGACGAGACCTACCCGCGCGCTGCGACTGCCGATGAACCGCCATGGCTGAAAGGCCGAAGCGGCCAAATTTGCAACCGTAGAATGCAAACTCGGCCACCAGATGGTAGGCGGAGGCATGGAGAATGCAATGCATGGCCATAACAGCACCTAGCCGTGAGGGACTTTCATGGAGATTCGCAAAAGGCAATGTATACCCCAGTATACAAAAAGAACCAAGAGGATATGGCAGATTTGACCACTTTTGACCTCATTTGACCTTGAAGATATTGACCTAGGGTCATGAAATTCACACACAACAGAGTTCCCCTGGGCCCCCACCTACCCTCCAAATTTCGTCTTTCTAGCTCCAGTGGGAGCTGAGATCTTAGGGGGGGCGACATCCGCCCCCCCCTTCCACTGGGCGTAGTACTCGCAACCCTTCCACTGCGCGTGCTAGGGTGACCCGCTTGCTCCGCAAAGCGAATAAGGGGTATTTTCGATCGGTGGGCATTTGGTTGGTCTTGTGTCCGTGGGTGATGTATCCATTTCGGTTGATTGCTTTTTGACGGCTAAGCATTTTGGATTGGGAAAAAATATCCATTGCATCGAGGTGCTCGTGTCTGATAAGCATGCGTTCTATGTACTATAGAACATGTCATGTGTAGTTTATAACAACGGTTGACGTAGGTTATTGAAAATGACAGCCATCGATGAATTACTATGTAGAGGTTTCCAACATTTATATTTTTAAGAATACTGTTGCTCGTCATGCAAAAGCGATGATTGGATTTTGGACAAAATTGAATGCTCTTTCCAACTATGCCATTTTCAACTGTCAAACGTACCAGGTTATGCAGTAAAACCCGTGTAATTAAGTAAGTCATTAACAAATACCATTCTCTCCAGCGATTTGTTCCACCTTGTTTTTGATCAATTAGCTTTTCACAATTTTTCCATGAGAGGCGGTACATTTCTTTTGCCAACAGGCGTTGTTTGAACCCGCTCCGTCAAACAGTCACCCGAAAACAGCATTAAGTCCCAAATCTGTCCGAAACGTAAATTTCCCAGTATAAGTGCCCTCACGGGTGCACGTGGCGCGTGCCATCCCTGCACCGCACACCATTCGATAGCCCTTTCGATTCTCTACACGATACCCCGTGGCGATTGGGCCCACGGTTACCGAGATACTGCACGGGGACCGGACCAGTGTCTGGCAAATTTAGTCATTTTCGCCCGATTTTGCAAGCCGATTTATACATACATGTAAAGTCCATAACGCGAATTTGCACTTTTTGAGCACGCGTCATGTGCTCGCTATCAATCCGATCGAGCTGAGACCCTCAAAGGCACGTTGCCCATCCTTAATCTATAAGTTGCGCAAATTTCAGCGCACTTGGCGCAACGGTCGGGCCCGTACCCCGCGCTAAGTAACACCATGCCGGGACCTCGATAGCAGACAGAATCTACGTCACCACATCACCACGCCACAACAAACCCGGCCCATGGCAATACATGTCCCATATGAGCGCGTTAACCCTCGCCGGCACAGGCCATTCCGGCCATTTTGCGTCCTTCGACGGCACAAGAGGTACGACCCCTTCGTGACGGCACAAGGTGGTACGACCCCTTCGTGTTTGGCCCATGATCGAGCTAGAGCTTCGCGGGAAATACGAGCGTGTTCCCCGTGACGAGAGGAAGCCGACGATACCCAATTTTAAGGTTCTTGGTCATTGGTTGACCTTCCAGGTCAGGTCAATGACCGAAAAATCGGGAAAATCGGGACCTGTTAGAACGTCGTTAATTGTGGATGCTATAGGGTTTTTCGGGGTACTGATCATGAATAGTTATCATGTTAGTTTTGATCACAGATGATGTCTTTATGCATTTAAGCCAGGTCGGGTCAGGTCAGGTCAGGTCAACCAGTAGGGGTCCTGCCGGGTATTCGTAGTACCTACGTGCCAGCCGCCTCTGGCAGCTTCGTAACATGTTACGAAGGCACCAAAACTACTTCGTAAATGTTCAAATGGTTGCTAAATTCGGATTCAGCTCCAAAAACTAGCCTGGAAACATGTATAATTCGAAAAAGTACCGAGGTCATCATAGGTCAATGACCTGACCTGACCAGGTGACCTTGACATCCACCCTAATGCATGGGAGCAGCATCAACTCACATGTTTGAATGCTTGAAACTGTAGCACGCTACATCTTGAACATTTAACGTAGTATCTTTTCGGCACGGCTCGGTCCGGCAGTCCCCCCCCCCCCTCGCAGTCCGGTCACAGGCCTAGCCCTCCATTCACACACCCGTCGCTGCTACCGGGTGACGCACAGCTGAGCGGAGCGCTGCTGCTGCGCTCTCCTCCCCTCTCATTATTCACTACCCCCCCCCCCCCCCCCCAGTCACCAGGCCCGCCATCCCCATTCAGCACTTTTCCCCAACTCCCTCAACGAGCACTGTCCGTGAGAATAGCCCGCAGTAGACACGTCTGCGAGAAGACGATGCCGGTCACATCAGTACGAACCGCTGAGGCACAGCTGAGTCAACAAGCTACGTCAGGACTGCGGCCGGCGGCGGCGGCGAGCGAGCACGTTAAGGTACTCTGTCACTTGTCACGTACTCTGTCAGGTACCACAACAGCTGCGCCGCGCTGAGTCCCACGGTGGGAATGGCACAACCAGGAAGATCCTACGGCAAGCAAAAACGCTGTAGTTCCAGAGGTCTTCGCAATGGGCAGCCGTTAAACTCTCATTACAACGCCCGCCTATGGAGACAGCTACCGCAGGATGAGCGATCCGAGCCTCCTCAAATAACGCTGGATCGGTAAGATATGTCAACAGATCATGGAGCAGTGTCAAGGATGGATGCCGGCTGGAGCACACAGCCTCCTTTGTCGAGCACAGCAACCCAGGGTGAGTGAACCTGGCAAAACAACCGGGTGACCGACCTCACAATGGCCTCATGAGGTAGTTCCAGAGATCTCCGCAGAGGAAGAAGGCGCTGACTTACGGCCACACCCGGTACGGTGGGCGGAGCAAGAGTGACGTCACAGGGGCGTTGGCGGCAGACGAAACGGAAGGAAACAAAAGTTTGAATAAAATGAAATTGAAGAATCAAAATTAAAACTCGAAAATCACAAACCTTTCGGGGATTGTTTTATGCCAGCGATTACTGAAATGATAAAGCACTCAACACGAAGACGATTCGACGGCCAAAAATTGCAGGCACAGAGGAGCAAGGTGACTAAACAGGACAGAGGGCGCCATCTTACGGCCCCACCCACCAGAAGAAGGCAGAGGAAGATGACGTCGCAAGGGCGTGGCAGTCACCCCTCCCCCCCCCAACTATAAAAGGGTGCGCCACCCAACCAGAGGGAGAATCACAGTCGAGCAGCCGAGAGCCACAGTCCACAGCTGGAGCCGGAGACGCCATCTGGGAGCCGCCGTCAGTCCGGGGTCACCCGCGAGAAGCCTCTTCAGTTCGAGTGATCAGAACCGAGGACAGCAGCCGACGCTTGTGACCACACTGAGAAGCGGAAGCGCAGAGAAACTCCAGAATGTGAGTGTTGTTGAAAAGTCTGCTCAATCCCAATCCTTGACCCCCCCCCCCCCCCCCGGTTGCCGTGCCGTGACGACTGCCAAACATTTTCGGTTGCCATAAAATGCACACTCAATTGGAATTGGAAAACTTAAATTACTTTGAACTTATTGGTCCAGACACCCTAGTAGCATATTAGGATCTGAATTTCGAAGTCATGTCAGAGTCGCCAGCAAACCGTTATTGTCAGTTGGAGTTCACGATTAGGCCGAGAGCGAGAGGCTAAAATTTGAATAAGCAGCTCATGGTCACGAACGTTGAGATTGATGACAGGATGCGTGACAGCGTTGAAATGTCTTTGTCTTCGGTCAAGCTGGTTCGTTCGATTTATTGTCGGCGGTGGTCAGGTACGATTTGAGGTTGGAACGTTTGTGAAATTAAGGGTGTACATTCGGGCTGTACTCACTAAAAGTTGCATTGCGAAATCATTGGTAA